ATAAGATGAAATGCTGGATTACTGGCATACCTTAGAAAACATTAGTATTTATAGAAAATGCTAGATAATATGTATGAAATTTTAAGAGCATGAATTCTCATGGAATGACAGCAATTATGTTGCTTGCATTATTCAGTTGTATATAAGAATATGTTTCTGTGTTTTATATCTTTTATATTCATGTACATTCATGGTTCTCATTAAATTGAACTCTGAGCAGATAAAATCCTTATGTATAATATGTATTTCCCTAGGTCACAGCAACTATATTTGGAAACACTAAGTATAGCTCTCTCTGGCCATAAACGTATGCTTCAATACAATGTGACACTTAGAATGATATCAAAAGAATGAGAAAATTATGCAGAATTTCCAAGTGTCTTAATTTAAAGCTCTCTGAATTTTCAGAAGGACTTTGGACCCACTGATGGTTATCATATGGACATTTAATTAGAAAACATCATAGCACATGTGCAGCTGTGTGCACAGAGACATGCCGCTGCCTCTCAGGCCAAGAAGTGCTGACATTATGGAGCTACAGCTATATGTCAAACAGTGTTTGCACTTTCCATTAATGGCTGTGAGGATTAAACAAACAAACAAACAAAACATGTACATAAAGAATGTAAAGCAGCCCCTGGCACATAGTAGGAACTCAGAAGGGAATGGAATTTCTTGTGATCATTGTTAATTTCATTTAGTCTTTTTTGTGTGATGGAACTGACAGAGATGCAGCCAGAGTTCAAACCCATACCTTCTTATCTTCAATGCCCTCCCCTGCAACACGCCCATTGAAAGGTTCCTGGAACCAATTCTGAAGTTTAGCATTGACCACACTTTTTATTCCTCTCCTCTGCCTGACTGTCTAGAGAACATAAAGAGGGTCAAGGTAGGATTTTTTATACCCCAATACTGAGCACACTGCTGTCTAGTGTGTATTAAAGATTTAATTAGGGCCTGTTGAACTGGATCTCCCTCCCATGCTCGCTACAGCCACAGAAAGAACCCATCTACACTTCCATGTTGAGTACTTTTCATAAGCCAAAGCTGCTACCTCATTTTTTCACCTAATTATCCTGCCTCCTACTTCCTACTGTGGAAAGGCACATCCCCAGGTGGTGAAATCAGGCAACTGAGGTGGGAAAGGGTCTCCCCTGCCAGAACAAGATAAGCTATGATTTTCTCACAGTGTTCTTGCCACTCAAGAAAAAGGAGAAGGACATATAGGGTACAGTTGAGCTTAAACTCTGTCTAAGAGGAAGCAATAGCAAACCTTAGTGGCGCTTTCCACTCACCACCTCTGATGGTATAACAGACCACCCTCTGGGGCCTGGAGCAGCAGCTCTTCCTCCAGGCCTGCTGCTTTCCACAGCACCTGGAGTTCCCTTCTGCAGTGCTGCCCATTCTAGAGGTGCCCTAATGTAGAAAAAGGGCATGGGGGTGATGGCCACTGAGGCAATGGCCATTTGGGCTTGGGCCATGGCAGGACCTCAGGGCCCATAACATAACACCATAACAGAAACAAATCCACCTTGCACCACAGTGTCCCACTGCCCTCAGCAAATACAACCCCCACTCCCATCCCCGTCCATGCATTTCTCTGGAAACCTCTGCTCCATCATACTCACCATCTCTTTGCCCTCAGATGCTGGCTCCTCTTCTCTCTCCTCCAGGCACTCATGAACTCTCATTTCCAATGCTGTCTCAATTCCTTTGCCTATAGCATCCTAGCCTTCAGCTGGACCCCTTCCTCCCCCAAAGTTCTCTAACCTCAACCACCTCAGCTTCATGTTGGAAATGCCACTGGCTGCCTTGAATCATTATTTAATGGTCCTACCTTATGCCCCCAGCTTGATGTAAACTATTTAAAGGCAAGGACTATGCTTTGCATGTTTTGTATCAACTGTAGTACTTTTTACATGACACAGACTCAAAAATATGAACAAGGTGAAAAGCAAAGGAAAGAAAAACTTGGAAAGCAAATGCAAAGCATAATAAATTAAATTTTTGTTTCATTGTCTGATTATTTTTTGGTTTCCCCTGATTTCAACTAAGTTTTGGGTTCAAAATGTATTCCCTATGGTCATAGTAGAACTACTTCGCAGTATTAACCAAGGCCTTTCTAAGTAAACAAAATATTGTGGCTCTCTCGATTTTTCCTGCATAGAGTTCTTTATTTAATGGACTTCCAAGGAATTCCAAACACTAAACCATGGCTTAAGAAAGAAAAATATTAAGTCAGTGGACCATTAGGATATGTGTTATTTGTTTCATAGCACTGGCCTTTTCTAGAAAGAAACATGAAAACACTAACAGCCAGTGATTTATCTTTTTATTAGAATGTCACAAATGAATAAATGAAATTAATACAGAATCATTGAGTAACCGTTGGTTTTGAAATATGTCCTTATTATCATTGGGTACCCTGGATTTATTAAGTCCTGAATATCCCAAGGTAGTTACTCTTCCTATTTAGGCCAAGGTAGGGGGCAGTATATTCTGCTGAAGCTACATTGTTGATGAACTGTAAAAGCAAAGTTTCAGGTTGATTCCCCTGGATGTTTTCATCTTAGTAATTAAGAAACCACCTTGAGTGGGCAGAAAGGATGGTGCTAGAATCCAAGGAGAAGTTTTTGAGTGTCTATGTGGGACCTTGGAGTTGGTGTAATTGGGAGTCACAGGCCAGTGAACTCTGCACACGTATCTCTTCACTCCAGCCTGCAGCCGGTCCTTTTCTGAAGCACTCTATGTGGTCTCCAGTCACCATGACAGTACCCCTTCTCAGACATTAGGTATATATACTGCAAGACATGCACCTGTTGCTGGCACTGTATTTGGAAAATATCAATGTGCACAGTAAGAGCAAGCAAAGGATATCCATGTTTGTTTGTTTTTTTAACACAGGTTGGAAAACTACTTATAAAGGGCCCATTAGTAAATATTTTATGCTTTGTAGG